GCTTCAATTGACGATTTTGTAGTACCAATTCTTTGGTTTTTGCGATGTGTTGCTTCTCAGTTGATGTTTTTATGCTTGCCCCACGTTCTTCGTCCTAAACGATCTTAAATGCATTCTATTTGAGTTGTTTGTATCACTTGTAAGCATTTTTAGTTTGGCAGTGTCTGGTTACCGAAAGTCTTCTGAAACATTAAACATGCTCACGATGCAGGTTTACCTTTGTCTACGGCAAAGTGTGTGCTCAAACTGACTTTTGCCAAAGAAGGAGAGTACAGATGGCTGAATGAGCAACCAGACGGCCAAAGTTGAATGAGAAAAAATCAGAGCGTTTTATCCTTCTAGACCGATTTTCCATTAACATAACTTGAGTCTTAATAACAGTCCATTGTCTAATGGAGCTTCACGTGAAAATAATGGCCTATCAATGTAATGATGTTTGCCACAGATGTAGGAAGAGGAGGAGTGTATCGAGCTATACTATCGTTATTATTGTCCAGCCTTAACATTGGCTCGGCCCGGATTCCTCGGGAAGCACTTCCTCATCTATCTCGCTAAGCTAGTCTCAGGGGAAATCGGAAATTTCGTTGCCTTTATATGGCGCACGAAAGGGTTTGATCATTTGAGAAGGTGAAGACAGGAGCCTCAAAGCGGTATCACTATGGGTCTATTGGCCGAAGTGCGCTGGGAAATATCAGCATCGGTAGCAACTAAAATCAATTCGAAGAAAAACAAAAATTATGACTTAAAGTATAATGAAGAATCTCTGCAATTTCTGGGGTAAACCCCCAGCCATTAAAAGAACAACTTAGCCAATTAGTAGATATTCTAAAATTCCGCAATAGCAATGGAATAGTTCTAATCAATGCCTTTTGAGAATTTGCTATGATAAAATTCAGCCGCGTCGTTCTTTATTTAAAACCGGTCAGCGACTTCTAAGATATTTTAAATTTGTTAAACTCGGCTGTACTATTTACACAGAGTATGTAACGATAGGCTCTTTCCGTTCACACTACTCGAGATAAATATGAACATAGATACAAAGTCGTACCATTATACTACCGCGACAGTGGTAATCTGTTCTTCCGGCGTCCTTCTCCTCTCTATTGATATATTTGCCATCGCTTCAGCTTGTTTAGTTCGTCTGCTGTGTCTTGTTGACGTGGAGTCGTCCACAAAGGATTTCTTCCATCGGTACAAACCAAACAAATTTAGTCTACTATCGCCAACCACTCGATTTGAGTCGATTGATGATATCCAGGCGGCCGTGATGAGGGTACTCACAGACATCCCAGTCGAAGCGTTCCAGAAATGTTACGAAGCATGGGAAACACGCTAGAATCGTTGTTTAGCTGACCATGGGGAATCAGTCTCATTACTTGATTGTCACACCTCGTATATCAAACTACATGAAAAGACGCGACATATTAATTTAGTCATGTCTCAAGTACAGTTTGCGACATTTTGTTGGAACTTGATTTATAAATATACAAGTACAAACGCTATTGATAGTGGTCGAAATCAGGCCAGGTTCACGTCCACTTCACATATAACGGGTATTTGATCATATTTAATGAAAAAAAGTTTTGAGTGACATGACATTTTTCACTTCTTGATACAAAAAGTATATCTCAGAAACCACTAGATAGAGGTCAAAATTCAAATAAAATTCCATGCTGACATAGACTTCCCATGGTCCAGCCTAAACACGAATTGAATGTGGGCGTAAACGGGAAACATTTATGACTTTATTCCATATGACCCACATTTTCGATCCTTCCCTTGACCGTTGAGGTGATTTCCGGCCGAGGGCGGCTGAGATAGTCGAGAGGATAGGACTGCGTACAGTCATTCGCGTGGTGAGGGTACGCATCCTGGTCCGATCATCATCTACGAATTATCGAAATTTAATTTAAATAAGAGGTTATGCTAAGTTTTTTAATCGCGGGAATATCAAGCCCTCTGAGTGTATATCTGACATGAAAATGAAAAGCTCTTTATAAGAATCCATCGGCGGTGAGGGGGCGGCTTGATATAAACTGTGTTTCGATATACGAACTTATAAAAATGTATTTAAAAATAACAAAATATGTTTCCAACAGTGATCGCCCTTCGTCGGGGAATATCGATTAATATTAAATAACAGGTTCTAACAATCATCTGTCTGCCTTTCTGAGATGGTGTAGTAGCTGGTGCTGGTCCCTCCTTTTGTTAGACTTACACCCTTTATAAATGGAATATGTATGGATGAAATCGACAGAGTCCTACAAAACGTAATAGGATTTAAGAGAGAAATTACTGATTCTATACTATTCTATTCTTCGCCGGTCGTGAACTCAATATACATAGTGCGCCATCTGCTGCGACTCAATTTGAAAAGCTCCGCCATTTTTCGTTGTATTGACACTCGTATTTAATATCTGGTTCGACGCGTCATTTCAGTATATATTGTGGCTATGAGTCGATACACAC